TACAAACAAAGACAATGTTGTTACCTACTTTGTCAGCAGGGATCAGTACGTACTGATCATGTAATCTATCTAATTCTTTTTTGACTTTTGTATTATTGAATACAGAAGGATAGGTGGTTCTCATATTGCCCCTCAATCTTTTAATGCGCAATTTTAACATACATCTGATACATTTAATCCATTCTGACAAAGTGTCAAGGTCTTCTTTTTCATGTCTAGCCCATCACAAACACGGACCCTAGAAACATCAGAGGTGCATAGAATCAGGTGTAATGGAGGAGTGAGTATCTCTTTTCGACCTTTTGTCTTGAGGATTAATGCGTAGTCATTGTAACGACAACAGAATTTTTAAAATGTTGACTTTAAACCAATTTGATGATATTATTTTCAACACATCAAATTATTTGTCAGTAGCCAGCTTCCGTTCAAAAATTGTGATTGTACACAAAAAATGTTCTTACATTAAATATGAAGATAACGAACAATAATCAAGCTCAAGGATTCATTGGAAAAATACAAATTGGGAGCAGAGCAAACAAAGACTTCTAAAAACATCAGAGGTTGGATCAGGTACCATGGAGGAGTTAGCATTCCGGCCCTGTCGAAGTTTTTTTTTTTATAAGTTTTGCCTCAAAAGAATACCAAAGTCGGCTTATAAAGGCCACCTCAATTTGAATATTGTTGTAAATAAGTTTTTTTTTCAAATTGCTTGTTTGGGTTTGAAAAAGTAGAAAAAAAAAGAAGTCAAGATAAGTTGTCCTTTTCGTTGTGAACATTTTATTTCAAGAATTTTGGGATGAAAACCTTTTACACCTGGTCGTACTCATCAATTTACTCCATTAATCGAATTGACATTCAAAGAAAAAGAATGTCACAAATATGTGGACATGCCAATGTTATGTTAACAACAACATAGCATGAACTTTTGTTACTGATTTTGATGCCGTTTATTCTCTAACTTTACAGGAAAGATGAGCTTGTAGTATATGTCTATATACTTGATCTTAGTATTTATATCCTTCATAAACATATAGTTTATGTCAATAAACAATGCTCTGATATATTTTCGATACATTTCCAGCTTTGGTTTAAAGTTCTCAAAATAATTATATTGAATTTGTCGTCTAGGCAAAGAGAGATCTATAAATCATCAAGAACCAGGAATGTAAAGTACGGAAACCCGTGGAGGCCAGTTCAGAAAAAGAAATACTTATTATTGCGTTTAAACGCAATAAGTATTGCGTTTAAACGCAAAACATTGCGTTTAATCGCAATAATCATAGCGTTTAAACGCAAAACATTGCGTTTAATCGCAATGTATATTGCGTTTAAACGCAAAACACTTTGCGTTTAATCGCAAAAGATTGCGATTAAACGCAATAGTTTTTACGTTTAAACGCAGTAATATTTTTGCGATTAAACGCAGTAATATTTTTGCGATTAAACGCAATGATTTTTTGCGATTAAACGCAGTAGTTTTTGTGTTTAAACGCAATAATATTGCGATTAAACGCAATAACATTGCGATTAAACACAAAACTTTTGCGATTAAACGCAAAATTTTTGCGATTAAACGCAATAATTTTTGCGTTTAAACGCAATAATCTTTGTGGTTACAGGCAGTCATTTGTATCAAATCTTGCAGAGTACAATGGACCCACGCATACCTATATCTTTTATTTCTTTCTCTTTTTACTTATTAGGAAATTGTGTATTGTCTTCCTTTATAGAATCAAATTTCTCCGAGCAAACGCTCTCTGAAAGGATAAAACACTAATAAGAATTTATAGAGGAGAAAAAAATGCCGGGTTGTAAAAAACAAAGGCAACCTAAGAACGAGACATGTCTTAAGCTTATTAATTATTGTCTACATTCTTAATGAAGTTTTGGTCAGTTGCTTTGTTAAAAAACTGTCCTCTACGTTGCGGTCACAAGTTTAACCCATGTATAAAGGGATTTTTGGAAAGGACTGAGGAAATGTTGGAATTACGTACAACATGATGAAGTATTTAGACTTAAATGTACATTCAAAACCCTTCCTATGGTTGCATACAGTAAACACAAAAACATATGTGATTGATTTATATGAAATCAAAATCAAATGAAAACAGATTGATCGATGTGCACTACATGTATCAAATTGACAAGTGCTATTAATACCACTGAAACATTCTCTATAAGTTGTGATATACGTAAGCAATTGATAAGAGACTACATTAAGAGTTTTGGGTTCTAATACATTTAAGATTGTTAGGATGCCATTGTTTTACTATAATTTAAGGTTGTTAGGATTTAAAGTTGTTAGGATGCCATTGTTTTACTACAATTTTCAAAAACTGGTTCCGGTTTTATTTTCCAGGGGAAGAAAATATTTTGATATTCAACCCCGTTTAAAGCCAGCTTTTCGCAAATTTTACGGTTGTTATAATGACCTTGTTTGTAAATACATCCTATCGTTGGGTCGTATATTGTCGGACATGTTAGGTCATTGCCATTATACTACATTTGACTACGGATCGATCTCGGAAAAAATCTACAAACAATACAAATTTTAAAACAGGACATAAAGCATGGACCACCTGGAAATACCAAAGGTGGGATCAGGTGCCTAGGATGAGTAAGCATCCCCTGCCGACAGGTCAAACCCGCCGTAAGCCCTATGTATTAATAAAAATGATCGCCAAACAATTGGTATGAAATATTTCAGTCGCAATAAGACCCAATGACAGGTTGTATTTGCTTACAAGCTCATTTTAACGAGTTGTTTACAGTACTCGTGGTTACAAAACATTTGAATTCAAAATTAAGTAACATTAGTTCCATTTGTTCAAATTTAAAGTAAATTCACACATCGACAAAATAAATGTTTTTTACATTTGATAGTGTGATGATCTTAAATTTCTTAAATATGATATAACGTAAAATGACAATGTTTACGTATTTTTGGAATAACCCTCGTATTTTTGCCCTCAGCAACGCCAAATATGTCAATACCATTTTGCACTGTACAAATTACACAAAACTCAGTCTCTCTGGACATCATAATCAATAATTAATTACATGTACCCAAAATATGACTATTGTGTATTGATAAGGCTACTAACCTCCTCAATTTTGGCGACTTTGCAAGGGAAACTACCGGGGGGGGGGGGGGGGGTAAAAATGCAGTCGAGCATAGTAAAAGGGAGAGAAAGGGAAATAAGCTTCATCATCGTACATCGAGCATAGTAAAAGGGAGAGAAAGGGAAATAAGCTTCATCATCGTACATCGAGCATAGTAAAAGGGAGAGAAAGGGAAATAAGCTTCATCATCGTACTGTTGCAAAGACTTTCTTTCTGATTCCTTAAAGAAAAAGGAAGAAATAACGAAAAGAGATCGATCTAAAATAAAACTCTACAAACAATACAAATCTGTAAACAGGGCATTAACAAGGATCCCCGAAAATAACAGAGATGGGATCAGGTGTTCATATAGGAGGAGTAGCATCCCCTGTCTACCGGTCAAACCCGCCGTGAAAGTATCACGTATAGACGGATTATTCCGTAGTCAAATTTATTATAAAAAGATTTTAAACAAAGGTCTAGCAACTGATATGAAACACGTTAGTCAAAATACGACCCAATGATAGATTATATTTGCTAACAAGGTCATTATAACGACCATAAACTTGACGAAATGCTTACTTTAAACTTTGTTGATATATCCCTGAAACATCAACTTTTCTATCAGTAGTTTGCCTCGGTTTAAAAATTGATCGTACTCAGAGCATGCTCTTGAGTACGGAATAAGTTGGGAGACATAAACACCATATACAGGCGATAACGGATCATTACTACATAAATAAGAAAAAGCTGAAGTCATCTCGTTTGTCATACAATTTAGTTGTTAGTTGGCCCTTATCGTCTTTAGTCAGTAAACACCTAAATATGAAACAGATGTTGTGGACTTTGTGGTGTCTTTTATTTCGAGTTCACTGGGATATAAATCGAGACATATGAATGAAAATGACTATTGTAAATTGATAAAACGTCGTCCATATATCTTAAAATCGAGTTGATGGCCACCTGAAGTGTTTTCTTATCATGGAGTTTTTGAATAAATTCTTCTTCAAAAGAATGTAAAAACAAGTCAGCTAATGAAGGAGCACAATTAGTGCCTATCACATTTCCACCAGATTGTTGGAAGACCTGGTCTCCAAAGACTACATAAATGTTGTCAATGAAGAACTCCAGCATCCTTTTAATATCATCTCCAAAGTACTTAATTATAGAATCAGAGTGATTTTTAAAAAAAATGTCTTGATGACCAATCACAGGTAATAAAAATTTCCGAGTTCCATTTTTATTGAATTTAATTTAAACATTTTATTATGCATAATCATAATAGGATTGGACAGCAGGCACTGCCTATATAAGTCCTCTCCATAAAACAAGGTCAAAGGCAAAGAAGCAGTTGTCTATATCAAAAAGCATATTTTTAAATTTTTTTTTTTTTTTTGAATTCATCATGAGGAATGGTTTTATAAAGTGTAGATATTAAATGTTTTTGACTTTTGAAAAATTTGGTGATTAAATATCCTAAGATCATCCATGAAGACTTATTTGGATTTTATCAAAGGCAAGAAACAAAACTCAATGCTTACTTCTAATTTTTCGATTCCTATTCAAAAGAAAGAAGCCCAATGCAATCAATCTTAAAATATTTCTATACTTGAAGTAACATACATGTATTAATAACCTCTTTCAAAATTGCTATACAGTTAGATTTGTTTTAGCTGGATACTTTTCAGTTAATCTGAAAAACTAAAGAAACCAACATTATGAAGACCGTTTTGTCTAATCTGAATATTTTTTTCAATATCAAAAGAATACTTTGATCAAAGAAACCTATGAAATGCGTAGGCTTACATGAATAGTTTCATCAAAATATTGTCTTTTCTTCTGCTGTTGAGCTAATACACAAATCTAACACAAAATTCAACAACAAAAACTTTGCAATATTTGGTAAAAAATTTATTCACATAGAATTTAATTTATTCTATGTATATTTACATGAAATAAATTATAGTTATCAATAAACTATGAACATTCTGAATTGATGCATAACAATACCATTTTCTGGATTGACAAAATAATCCTAATTTTACCCTCCCTTCCCCCTCAACACCTGTTTAGTTAAGTGTTTTAAAAATAGCGAGTTGTTACTAACAGAGCATTGTTACGAAAATTTAGGTATGAGTGTTAGATAAATGCTGATAATGTGATGATGGTGTTTTTTTATATACAATGCTGTGGACAGGCAGTATTTCCCCGACAATGGGAACACTAGTTGTACTGTTACCGGTATATATGGTCTTCCCTGCAGTTAAATGTAGTCCCTTAAATGTACACAGAACAACAAAATCTTCACAGGACTTACAATGATAAATGCTTCACAATGGGATGATGAGAAATAAAATGTATACAAATATTACTTAAAAAATGGAGAAAAAAAATTCACACAAACTTAACATACACCCTATATCACACAACATCATGACGTAATAACTTCAATGAATATCCCAACTCAAATCAGTTTCTCAATAAGTGAACCTCAACATGTCTGTTTGATTGTATCTTTATGTCCACAATCTTTAAATATTTCAAGAACTAAGATAAAACAGCAAATAGCAATTTACTCCCAGGAAATTAAAACTTCTATTTACAGTATTGGGACTATGTACAAATAGATCTGTTTTCAATGTTATCACATTAATGCTTATCACTACCAAATAAAATGTTGTACAAAATGAATGAATACTTTATAAAGCTTTCCATATTCAGATACAAGTTTACTCACAATAACCTAGCAATAACGAGACAAATTTTGGGATTATCTTCAGATGTCCAATATTGAGTAAAATCTTTTTTATCAATAATATATATACTGAAGAAAACTGTCAACCTATCATTTTCAACTGAGTTTATTTTTCTACTTACGCTTGCTTAAGTACAATTTATGAAAATTAAATATTTTTTACTTTCACTCAAAATAACAAATTTTTACCAGAAAACTCTATCATTCCTTATAACTGTTGATATTTTTTGTGAATAATGGTAAGTAACCTTCAATATATGACTGGAACAAAAAAAATCTAGATGGCAAATAGGGTAATTATTGCTGAGATCTTTTTTTACAAAACCTACCACTGGCCTCCGGTGTTCTAAACACAAAATACAGTCAACATATATATCTCTGTTAACAATATTGCAAATATTATACAGATGGCAATTCCTTACAAAGAGGTGATATATGTTTTATATCTATGATGAAATTATCATTCCTTTTGGAGAAATGATCAGTAACATAATGCATGAACTGTGAGCTACATTCTATGAGGCTACAGACTCTGATGGTAAATGTTTAGAGGAGGAAATGTCATCACTTGATAAACAGGTAACAGCACTATTAGAGAAGCCAGAGTCACACGTACTAGACACAATACTCGACGACAGAGAGGAGGAGGACACACAGCGACCACTCCCGTCTGAGTAAGACTCCTGTAGTTCATAATGAGAACTTTCACCGTTAGTTTTCAGTTTTTTCTGTACGGGTTCTTCTCCGTCATAAACACCATTCACAGCGACTGATGAAGAACTTGTAGCAGTCTGTTTACGCTTGTCAGGACTGACCGTAACAACTGTCGGGGACGCCCCCGATACGTCCAGCTCCCGCGGCTCGATCCGTACAGAGGATGCTCCTTCCCCGTCTATGTGGGGTCTGAGATGATTACGTTTGGGGTCTCCATAGATGAGGGAGTGGACAGGGCTAGCTGATCTCTCTCTAGTGGGGGCTGGTACTGGACTCTCCTGGTCATCCAGGAACCGTTCCATATAATCTCTAAAATAAACCACCAAGGTAAAACAATTTCTGACATCAACTCTTTGAAAAAACAAATACGTAAGAGAATTTTTTATTTGAAAAAACTTCTGCAACCTTTCTAAATAAATAGTTTCCTCATTGATTTCAATTTCTGGTTTCCACAGCATCTAGATACATAAAATTAATTAGTTAAACAAAGATCTTACGTTATTCCTGGGTGTAAAACATATTTTCTTTTCTCTATTCTGTTTTTGTTGGCAAACACATCATGCCTCTCTGTTTTCTTCCACAGATAATAAAACTGTACTAATTCTCCTACTGATCTCGTCTTCACCTTCAAAGCAATGAATGAATACCATGTAGTGATTCATGTTGTACAGTATCATCTGCTGAACTTTTAGATATTCTTAGTACTAAACCTACCTTGTTTTGCTGAATGAGGTAGAAATCTTTTCCATATGTTCGGAGCCCATTCTCAAAGTTACGACACTCTTCCTCTGACCAAAGGCTCATGGGATCTACAACACAAAAAATGATATTTTTTTCTCTTCTAAGTACAGAGGACAGATGTTGATACGATAAAACTTAAAAAGACTCTACAGATTTGTCTTACAGTGCTGCCTGAACTGTGATATAAATATACTCCTATACCTGTGGGTGGGACAGCCTGCATTTTCCTCCTCCTCAGAGCTTCCTCTATATTATGTCCACACTGAAGTAACATATACAAAGCCTACAAAAAAGAACAAAACTAATGTCACAAGAACAATCTTAAGCAACACTCTTTCTGAATATTCTTTAGATTCCTAATGCATCAGTTTCTTTAAATAATCAAAATATGATGCAAGTTCAAAGGGTTGACCTTCCCCCATACTCACCTGTTCATCATCCCTGACATGGGCCCCCGTGGGTAGAGCATTGGCTCCTGTACCATTCTGCATAATCTGGTTTTTCACTTCCTCTAAGTACTTCTCCACAGCTATAACATCAGTATGTTCATATTTTATTTAAATTAATATACATGTACATGTATAACTTACACAGGTCATTTGAAGACTTTTTGATTATCCAAAAAAGAAAACCTACCTGCAGGGTCTTCTATCTTTGACGGATCCCATAACAAACGGTCTTCATTTTCATATGCTACAGAAAATACAGAATTAATTTATTTTGTGGTTACAACATAAGTTATATTATGAATTTTCAGATTTGTCCCACTTCCCCTAGTATTAACACTACTTCATCTTATATGTGAATTTAAAACTGTGTACATTACTCATCTTTTCTCCTGATTATTTTGTTGTGTTGAGTTTTTGGGTTATTTTGCTGTGCTAAGTTCATGGGTTAGTTTGTTTTACCAAGTTCTTGGGTTATTTTGTTGAGCCAAGTTCGTGGGTTATTTTTTGTGCCAAGTTCAACATTTACTTTGTTGTGCTAAGTTTTGGGATCTTTCTTTCTAGCCTTACCTGGTGCATCACCATATTTACAAAGTCCATCTGGAACAGTGGCCTGATAGTCAGATCCAACTTGGATTGTCTGTAGAAAGCAGAGTATCAAAATGTATAACTGTAATTAATTTACATCATAAGTAACTATTAATACAAAACTAACAACCAGATGAAAATGCAACAAATATGTTTATTGGTAACCAGTAATTTATATTTATAGAACTGACCTTTTTCCAGTCATCCATGGGTTCAATAGGATGGTAATCTAAATCCTCTTCTGATTCAGAATCCTCATCACTACCCTCCTGACTTTTAGCTGTCAACAAAATAATAAGTCATAAAAAATTCTAATGAAATGCAATGAAAGAAAATAAACTCTGAGAAAGTAAATATTATGGTGTGCCTATATATATATATATATATATATATATATATATATATATATATATATATATATATATATATATATATATATATATATATATATATATATATATAATGAATGTAAAGTAGAATGTTTGGTTATGCTTGTTGATGACAAACCACTGAGGAGTTCTTTTCAGGAGCATAGTAGTCTGGATAAAGAGCATTAATGTTTCTACTTATACCTGAGGAACCTATTATTTGGAAAAAGAACATAAATGACTGCGGGCTGAGGAACCTAGCTGTTTCATTTTAGAAAATTTATTAGCTGTACATTTGAGAAGCCTGGTTGTCTGGGAAGAGGACAATAAGGGGTTTAACTTACACCTGAGGTGTCAGCTGTTTTGGAACAGGACATTAAAGGGGGAGAGGACATAAATGAGGGGTTCTTCTTAAATCTGAGGGATTCTACATCCACCTGAGGAGCCGGACTGGCTGGGATGAAGACATTAATGAGGAATTCTACTTGCATCTGAGGAGCCCTTCTGGGAAGAGGACATAACTAACAGATTTACATCTCAAGAAGCATTGTTAATGAGGGGTTCTACTTACATCTGAGAAGCCTGGCTGTCTGAGAAGAATATATATTAATGAGGGGTTCTACTCACATCTGAGGAGCCTGGCTGTCTGGGATGAGGACATTGAGGGGTTCTACTTACATCTGAGGAGCCTGGCTGTCTATGAAGACAATATTAATGAGGGGTTCTACTTACATCTGAGGAGCCTGGCTGTCTGGGAAGAGGACACACTACTGAGGAGTTCATGTGCTGTAGTCTCTTTGTCATCATCATCATCACTGGTCTTCAGAATGTCTCTAGCGATTTCGTCTTTGTCGAGTGTGAGATCATGATTACTGAGGATCTCTTCCTCACTACTGGAGCGAGTGTCTTGTCTCTCCTCTGCCACCACTGGTCTGGGCCCTCCTCCATAGCCATACATAGCAAGCAAGTCCTCCAGAGGCATCTCTCCCTCCTGTTACAACATACATATCAACAGATAATCAGAGGCATCTCTACTTCCTGTTACATCATACAAATCAAGAGATTATCAGGGCATTCCTACTTCCTGTTTCTTGTTAATACAGTATTTTATTAATTGACTTTGTTTTGAATAACATTATTTAAAGTTGAATACATATTAAAATTAATGTAAGGGAACAAAAAAAGTAAGAATCAATTGATATCATATTTTTCTTGAAAGACCGACATGAAACCTGCCAAAAAAAAAAAAAAACTGCCTGCCTCATTGAATTTTGAAATTTTTTGCCTGAGAAACTATTAATTTTTTATGGCCTTACTGTCAGTGTGTGAAAAATCCTTAGGTAAACACAATGGAAGTGCATAAAGAATGTATTACCGAACATTCTCAAGAGATTATTACGTCAGGTCAAGAAATCTCTCGGATGTAATAGGTAATACATTCTTTATGCACTTCCATTGTGTTTACCTTAGGATTTTTCAGCGCACTGACTGAAATTGTGTTTGAAGATTAATTGTGATGCAGAATCAATCCGATAGCATGAATCAAGACAGAAAATGTAGAGACAAGGTGAACCTACATTAAAGGTTGAAAAAAAATAAATACATGTTTTTTAACCCAGAAAGACCAGCAGGGGTATAATGTAAACAAACCGGCAAAGCATACCTTTCTCTCTTAAAATGTAAAGTATTTTTTGCATGTAACGTTATTTTGTGGTTTTCCCCAATTTCTCCTATAGTAGACATGATAAATAAGTGTAATAAAATTAATTTGTGAGGAAATGTCCAACAAGCCCTGGGGTTGAATATTAGAGGGGGGTCTTGTTCACAAGCACCTGTGGGGTCAGAATATCCTGAGTATTCGGCAGAGGCATGTGGTGTGGAAGGATCGTAATTTGCAAAAATCTGTCTCAGTTATTCTCCAGCATTCTGATCCATACAGGAGAGTTGATACAACACATGCATTATATATTTTAGAGAAATTACTCGGTTTCCCTGCATAGATCTTCCTGATGAAAATACAATTCTTCTGAGATGAGTCTGATTCCTTGAAGAGACCTACCTTTTCTAAATCTCCTAGTTCATCACAACAGCTCTCCCCACTGAGTGCTTCTTCTTCCTCCAGAGTCTGTTCATCATCGTATTCATGAACTAACATGTCAGCTGAAGGATCAAAGTCACGATCTGTGTCTACACAAAAGAAAAATATGTATATTTCAAAATTGAAAAAAATAAAAATCTGAAGTACATTTTTTATGCTTTATAAAACAAACCTAAGTCCTTATTTTGGACATTAATATTTTTCCATTCTAAGCATACACAGTAATTTGCTAACAGAACTACAAAATTATTTAAAAGTGATGTTTGCAGTTTTAATCCCCAGATGCTAAAGTTCTTATTTGACTTTATTATACCTAGTTCAAGGCTTAATTGAGCCTTTTTGGTACAAGGTCCTATGCCCTTTCAATTTGGAATTTTGAATCAAAAAATGAGTAAGAAAAATTCGAAATATTGATGAATACAATGTTTTACTGTACACTAAAGACAAGGATAAAGTAGGCTTATCCTCTATGCATATTTTTATACAGTCTCAGAATTCAATACTGTTGATAAAATGCACAGAATGTTCAATCTACTTGTTCTTGGGTATTTTTTACCTTATTTTATGGGAAAAAGTAAATTTTTATCATTACATTTATCATGTCTCTTACTCATCATGCTCATAAGCAAAAAATGTGTCTCAACTATAGGTATGCAGGTAAATGAAAACTCAAACAAGCTGTGATAAGAGAGCACTTTTCCTTTGCATTTAGTAAAACATAAAATTATCATGGAGTAAGACCGGCACCAACAGTCCACCACTGGAAAGGGGGGGGGGGGGTATACATAGAAATTAAAGGAAAAATGTTGATATCGTACTAAAATGCTTACCTGGGCTGCTGGATTCACTTGTACCAGCCTGAAAAGAAATTAAAAATAATTTTAATCACATCTCAACGACAACATAAACATGGGGGAAACCCTATCTGAACCGAATGACCGCCGCACTCTAAACAAAAATCCAATTTCGCGCCAGTCAAATCTTCAATTTCCCCATCAAAACTAAAAAATAACCTATAAAATTTACAGAATAAAAAGATGAATATCAGATGTTTTGAAATACATATGCATCGAACATCAAAATAGACTAATAAATTTCCATTTCAGGGGAATCCATAAAGATATTAACAATATTCCAATAGATACCTCCGCCATCTTTATCAAAAATTATGGGATACGCTAATTTTAAATGAAATCGAGGCTAGAATCTTACCGGATATCGAAATTCTTTGTATACGAACAGTCTATTGGATAATTGATTTTATTGTCCACGAACGCATATGTATATATTAAAAAAGAATTAAATGTTGACACTTCATATAATAAGTTTTATCAGAATGCTGAATGACTCTATTTTGAATATGTAGGAAACAAAATGCTTGAAAATAATTCATTTATTGAAAAGTAATGCATATAACGCCAGATGGGGTCTCATCTCTCTACCAATCAGAACCCTGCTATCAAGCGATAGTTAGTTTCTCTTGGCAACTGAAAAGCATTGTAATATGGCGACTATTTAGCAAGTGTGCGAAAATTTTAGTAACAGAACTTTGTGAAACATGTCAACGTCAAAGTCCCGCAAAAGTCAATACCTAAATCCAGGGTAAATGATAAAGACGTTATAGTATTTTTATTTTCTGCAAAAGCTGTTGAAGCTTCAGAGAATTTTTCAAAGTTTGGAATTCTTACAAGAAGTCATTTCGAATTGACTCTGCCTCTGTTGTTATATGATTTTCTCAGGTTTTATTTATTTATTTATTGTAGCAAATAATAATGTAAGATCGTTTAAAGCTAACATAGCTACTTCATTTCAGAGACACAACTATTTATAATGTTATTTATGTGTCTGTTTGTTATAATAAAACTGTAACAGGAAAGGAGAAAATGTATGGCTGGACCGGGAATCGAACCCGGGATCCCTGCATCACTAGTCAGGTGCTCTACCGACTGTGCTCAGTTGGTAGAGCACCTGACTAGTGATACAAGCCGATATCCATGGCCCAAACCATTACATTCCTCCTGAAATTGTCTTCGCCCTCGAAGACACAACCCAAGTTCTTATTTGCCCCTGGCAGGACTTTCACCTGCAAGTCCAGTGGTGGTGAATGGCACTAAATGTGTAACAGGAAAGGAGAAAATGTATGGCTGGACCTGGAATCGAATCCGGGACCCCTGTATCACTAGTCAGGTGCTTTACCCCATTACAAAACAATCAAGTATCAATTGTCATACCAGTGCAAATACACACAAGAAAAGTATTTTTCAAGTGGTCTGGTTTTGTTACTTTTTACTTTGTGCGATATAAGCATAAAAGTTTTTCCTTAAAATCTGATTTTTGAAAAAAAGAAAGGTATTAAAATAATAGCACTCATTTGACCAGTTAAGAATTTTTTACAGGACTGAGTAGTTCTAATAGATTTGAGAGATAATAATTTTTCAATAGACTGTTTCACGATAACTGCGGTACTGCTCTTTTGCAGGGCAAAATGATATATTTTGGTGAAATATGACGTAAAAGTAATTGTTTAATATACGTCATTTAATTATCTGTCATCAAAAACTTCGCCAAATATTGTTATTTTGCCCTGCAAAAGATTAGTACCGCAGTTATCGTGAAAGGGTTAATTAAATTGATATCCTAGCTTATTCTTGACATAAGGCTTATTAATATTTGTTTGAATTTTGCAATGTTTTGATATATTTTATGGACTGTCCATTAGAAGTTGTAACAAGATACACAATTTGATTCCAACTTTTTAGTACCAGCCAAGTTGCAGCCAGCACTACATCACGGAAGGGAAATGTTGGTGCTTCAGTGAATAAAAGCAAATATGGAGGGGGTGGTACTATGTATGCCAGTGTCCGATCACGGACTAATATCCTGTCATCAGCCAGCAAAAGAAGTGTGGCTCAGAGTGACAAGGCAGTTACCAAACCACCTGTTCAGGTGATCTATTGTTGATTTTGACCAGTTTTTGTATTACTTTGTAATATGTTGACGGTGCGACCATTGGGGTGAGCTAAGTTGTGTGTAATTTATTACAGTGGAGTCTTGATATTATGTTCATAGTTTAATACAATAGAATGCTTATTAGGTTGGACAGTACATTTCTAAACAAACTTAAATTGAAACCTTTATTACGATGTCCCAAAATGCTTGGATTCGGTTTTACATTGTGGCCAAAACAAAATGAACTCAGTGTATTTATTCAGTATTAATCAAGAACATACACTAAAGCAGCCACTAAATAAACATTGAAATATCTGTGGTCTGATGGGGTGTTAACTTCCAGGCCCGTTAGGTGTTTAGTAACACTTGACTGATCTCACTCCAGGGTTGTCCCTAAGACCTGGGGGCCAGGGAATTTCCCTGCCTATATTGATGTAATCCCCCGGTTATTTTGGTATTCCTCCTAATTTCCCCATTAGGGAAGGTACCCCAGATCCCCACCGACTTTTTAGATGTCCCCTTCTATTTCAATTCTTAGTGACAACCCTGTCACTCTGACACAAGGTCTTTCCTTTGATAAAAAATTTGAAACAAATAAACTGTAGATTTATCTGTGCATGAATAATTTAAATTTTCATATCTTTACAATCAAATTAATAAAAATAATCCACATATAAAATATTGTATTTAATCATTTTTGTATGTTAAACCCATTGTGAGCCAATTAAGAGCATTACCACAGTCATGAAAAAACAGTCTATTTGCATTGCATTGTGGGTAAAGAGGTTACTCTGAAAAAAAAAATCATTTGGAGCAAAGTGCGCAATCTGAATTCTCCCTTTGACCAGGCATTGCTTCAAGATCTCGCAGTGCCAGTGACACTTCATGCTGCTCGCTGCACTTACTATAATTAAACTTTTTTTTTTTTACCAATTAACTATATTTATAATTTCTAAGGTCTATCATTCAGAGAGCTCTAAGAATCTACTTTCAGAGAATAATTTCTCTTGAGACTTGTCGTTTTTGATTGTTGAATGATAAAGCTAGTAAAATAGTAGAAATCAAGGGATTTTTTTCTGGTCTCGTTTGTTGTGAGTATTTTGTTATTCTAGGTGTTAGATGAAGCTGGTAATGATGTGGTCCTGTTTGTTGTATTCTAGGTGTTAGATGAAGCTGGTAATGATGTGACTTCACTTCCCCTGTTACATGTTTGTTGTATTCTAGGTGTTAGATGAAGCTGGTAATGATGTGACTCCACTTCCCCTGTTACATGTTTGTTGTATTCTAGGTTTTAGATGAAGCTGGTAATGATGTGACTCCACTTCCCCTGTTACATGTTTGTTGTATTCTAGGTTTTAGATGAAGCTGGTAATGATGTGACTCCACTTCCCCTGTTACATGTTTGTTGTATTCTAGGTGTTAGATGAAGCTGGTAATGATGTGACTCCACTTCCCCTGTTATATGTTTGTTGTACTCTAGGTGTTAGATGAAGCTGGTAATGATGTGGTCATGTTTGTTGTATTCTAGGTGTTAGATGAAGCTGGTAATGATGTGACTCCACTTCCCCTGCTACATTCAGATCCATCAGCTGTGAAGAAGAACCAGAGTAACATTCTGGCCGACAGCTCTGCTGGAACAGTAAGTATATAACGCACTGTGTTGATCACTCAGTAGACTAGCTTTCCATCATCCTCAATACAGAAGTTTTAAAAGCATGAGTGTTTGGCATTAGATGGTTTTTTTGAATTGTATAATTTTTTTTAATTCAGCCCACAGATCTCATGTCCCAAGCCTCCATTTACAACACAGGAAATGTCACAGCAAGTACATTTGGAGGCGGACCCTTTACAAGGTAACTTCATGGTACCTCTCTCAGAAGCACCTAATACAATTCCTATTTAAGAAGTTTCTTCTCAGTACTTTCTTTTTCTGTTTTTTTTCTCCCCAGGTCTGTGTTCAGTGCATCTCAAGGAACAACTTCAGATTCTATGATGGGGGAGGATATTACAGAACCCTCCCAAGATATGTCTTCAGCATGGGCAGGTAATCACCACAGCCAAAGGTTGTCATACTATTACATCTTAATTTTGGACAAGTATTCAGCCTTCAAGACTATGTGAATTTTATTTTGGGACTTTATTTTCTCTATCTTTCCTTCATTTATGGAAAATAACATCACGAAGTTCACAACTTGATGAAAAAAGAAATTACAATAGACAAATTTAAAAATGCTTTAATGCCTTCAAATACTTCATCTGCATTTCCAGATTGTGGTGTATTATTTTAGTACATTATATGATAACGGATGTTTCTGTTTGGCCAGATATTCGTCACAAGAGAGAGGAAGTAAAGGAGACATTGACGGATGCCGACCTGGAGAAGATAGTTGACCTGACACTGACCGAGACAGAAACCATCTGGTTACTGGACATGCCTGGAACCTCTGTGTCAACAGAGTCTGAGGAAGCAGCAAGTGTTAAAAAGAGGAACGAAGAGTACCAAGAGGTACAACAATTCATAGATGTCAATAATCTGTGACTGAAATTACTGAGTGATTTAAAAATATTTAGAAGTGTAATGTATTGAAAACTTTAAATATAAAGATCAGCAATATGTTTATGGAATAGAATTTAAATCTGTTGGACGAAAATCAAGAAAATACTCTGCTGGTTGTAGTTAAAGAAGACAAGAGTGGGGAATGACAGGTATGCAGAGAGAGGGATGAACACATTCAATGAACCAGCCAAGTATAAAACAGTCCAGACAACAAAGATAACCTGTGTAGTAAGTCATAATACAGGTCTAAGAAATGTGATTCTCTTTGCTCAGTTGTAGAAAATTTAAAGCATTTAACTAATGTGATTCTCTTCGCTAAATTGTGGAAAAATTTAAAATTATGAATGAATTTTTATCACTACAATAAGATGTGTGAGGCATGTAGGAAATAAAAAAGAATCAGTATTTTCTATTAGAGTGGATCTAAATTACAGTAATTTGAGACTATCCTTTTCTTCCGTTTACTTATTTAGTAATAAACTGATTGTAGGACTCAGGTGTCATGGCAACAACTTGGGACATGTATGACACATTTGAACAGAGGGACCAAGAAATCCGAGGTACACAAAGCTTATAGGAATAACTATGTTGTTGAAAAATTAAACTTATAAAAGCAGTTCAATGCTATATGAGTTGTTAAGTGAATTTGATAATTTTTGTAGCAAAAGAGAAAGAGGAAGAAGAAGAGGGTACAATCAGTCGACCGAGCAGCCCAAAGGAGGCAGAGGAGGGTAAACCAGCCTCCAAGACAGACATCGGGGAACCCACAGGACTGGTCCGCGAAGGTAGTGCCCACTCTGTCAGGATAGGTGAGAGAAACATGTAGTCTGTCAGCTGTAGACCCAGTAGTTAGTAGTACAGTAATTGTAATACTGTAGTAGTCCATCAGATGTAGACTCAGTATTTAGTAGTACAGCAACTGTAGTTAGTACAGTAGTTGTAGTACAGTAGTTAATTCAGTAGTAGTGTTTAGGTGTTAGATGTTGTGTCAGTAGCTAGCGTAGTGGATAGGTGTGGAATAAAAATAGTAGGATAATGTAGCATTCAAACTTGACAAGTGTAACATTAAGTAATAATACATGTAGTATTACAGTAATGTAAAACAATGTCATTTTATATTTTTCAGTGGTTAGTTGTGTCTGTATGAGATTTTGTTCACACTATAAGATAACTGTTGTTCTTTCTTATGGAGCTCTGAGTTTTGGAATTCTGTTGAGGTGGACTGTAGTTCTATAAGGACGAATGGACCAAGTTTGGTTGATAGCTGATCCTCCTTTGGGAAATTTTTTAAATAGGAATATACAAAACTTCTTGAAAAAGTTTTTACATGTAACTCTGATAACAAACATTTAGAAAATGTTTAAATTTATAAATGTTTTCTGCCAGGTTTGTTTAAGAATGTTTCTTGTGACAAAAGTTGTCAGTTTCTCCTTACTCATTAGCTGAAAAAACCAGTGCAATTATTAGATCTCTACAGTATAAAAGTTTTAGCTTAGCTTTCAAATACTTAAATTTTTCTTTTTCTTCTTTACCTAATGCTATTTTGCTAGGTAATTCTAAGAGTAAAATGGGTTCAGGTAGTGTTGTGTTTTTAGGAAGTTACCTGGTTATATTGTCAGATATTTTGTATTGTCTCACTGAGATATCCTTGTATTGTCTCATTGAGATATCCTTGTATTGTCTCAGTGAGATGTCCTTGTATTATCTCAGTGAGATATCCTTGAATTGTCTCAGTGACGTACCCTTATATTATCTTAGTGAGATACCCTGATATTAGCTCAGTCAGATAGACTACACGCTTCTCTGATCCTTTTCCTGAAGAAATTTATATGAAAGTGTATCAAACTTAAAATGATAGAATTTTTTTGAGAAAAAAAAGATTTTAAATATAAACTCAATATCGAATTTTCAGGGTTGATGCACTCTTTAATATTAGAATCTTTGACTGGTTGTGTGTTATTGTATTGATTTATTCACATTAACTGTTCTTTCTTATGAAGACTCTGTGAAGCCTCATGTGTCTGAGCGACCCCCTACAGGTAAGGTCTGGTTAATGGCTGTCTTTGGATGTCGTGATATACCTGTACACTCTCACAAGCATTGGTTTGTAATGTCCCAACAATATAGTTACAATAACAATTCTCAGTGAAGACAAAGGAAATGGACGATGAAGGAAAATAACAGATTTTTTCCTTTTTTGAAAAATTATATTTACCTGAAACCTTTTTACAGGGTAACTCTTATAAAAGAGAAAAATGTATTATTTATTTTCTATGTAGTACATTTGTGTAACAGATCAAACAACTCCACACAAACCTCCTCACTGGAATGTTTATCCACCCTCTCTCCCCTTGAGTGTGCCCATGTATCTGCTTTCTTCACTCTCTTGAATATATATAGTAATTGTATTGTCACTTTATAGTACAAAGAAATATTAATATTATCACAGCAAAGGTTTGTGTACAAATTAAGTAATGTAAATCAACCTTAAGTTGTCGGTTTTTGTCAATTTTCAAGTATTTTGATATTTTTACCATCTTTGGATCTTGTGGTTTTATAATGCAGGCGTTAAAAAAAATCTTCAAAGGTTAAAAAAAAGAAGTACCAATATCTTTCCATCTGTATTGTTAATCTTTAAACAAGTTAGCCGTTTTCCTTTCTTTTTACAGACATTTGTAGAGGATAATGATGAAAATATAAAGTCTAAATGAAAAATACCATGTTTATACCTGTTCACTCTGTATTATATATATGTTTTTGTGTGAAAATCAACAGCAAGTAAAAAGTCAGAACATCTAAATGTTGTAACTTTACTTTCTGAGTGGAAATTTCACAATTATACAGTGAATAAAAAGCGAAGACAACTATTTATGTTTAAACTATCAATGATGACAGGTATAACAAGAAAGGTTGTCTCCCCTAAATTGTCATGCTGTTTAATGTGTTCATCTGAATGTCAAATTGTTAAAACCCATCGCCTGAAAAAGTTATACATCATTTCCACTTATATATTAAGATCGGGTGATTTAAACTTGCATAGTAGTTAGACACTTAATAGTAATTAACATATTAAAGTAGGATGAACATTATTGATGCTTTTTACTTTCATTGTATGATTGCAGATGGAACAAATAATCATAAGATTTATGACCAATTACTTTTGGTTGATCTCTGTTATTCATATTTTTGAGGGGGAATTAATTTTTAAATAAGATAAATAAAAGTTATGATGCACATGTATCATATCAACAAGAATGATACTCCAATATCAATACCATGTATTCCACTTTTAAAAAAAAAAATGCCTTTAAATTTTGTAAATAAAATTCTGCTTGAAATGAGGAATTCACATGATGACTGGACTTGAAATATCTATAATGATTAAGAACATGGAGAAGGCTCCTAATTGTCATCAGTTGATCGTTATAATATTTTTACTTCAGAATAATCTTACCTGTGATCCTTCGGACATTATTTGTGCTGTACTCTGTCTGTGGAGAACTTCTACTGATTCTTTCCATTTTTCTTCAGAGAGTCGAGCGACCATGGCCTCCTCTGTTGCCGGTTCAGAGAGCGTGTTTGCCAGCAAAGAAACTGGAGTGTCCTCCATTCCCAGTGATTTATCAGCCGTAGAGGAGGAAAAAATATTCAAGGTTTTCACGCTCTCTCAAATTCTCAATTTTAAGTTTTACACATAATAACAAATGACAAATTTTTAAATATTTTTCAAACAGTGTTTGAATTAGGCTCCTACTAAATATTTTTGTTGTGTTACAGTCAGAAAATTTCCAAAGAGATTTATTTATTATGGAGCGAGTGGTAAACCTGAACACATATCAACCAAAACAGGCATTATACAGGAATTTCCCCATTATACCAGGTAATTCACATACCAGGTAATTTACATACCAGGTAATTCACATACCAGGTAATTCACATAACAGGTAATTCACATAACAAGGAAAACAACAGAACAGAACTGATTATTGAGTTTAAATGTTAATAAAGAAAAACAATAAAATGAGTTGCTTTACTTTAGATATGGACAGAGAGAGTACAGAGCTAGGAGACAAACAGGTCAGCATGGTCAGTGACATGGGGCCAAACTTTGACCGTCTCTGGTCCTACTCATGTAAACTGACCAGTGGACGCAACATCAGCTGTATGTCTTGGAACAAGCTCAACCCAGTAAGTATATAAAAAGATTTGTTTGTAGCAAGAAACCAGTAAGGAGGGAAAAAAATGTGTGTACATGTAATGCACATTTTTTTTGCTACTTTTAGAATCATAATTATGTACATGTATTATGTTCATTTCTAATGAAAAGGTAGACATTTGATCTAAATAATTTTCATGTTTTTATTAGAATTCTCTGAAATTTTATTTTGGTTCTTACTGATTAGTTTCAAATTGATTGACAGGATCTGGTTGCTGTAGGATACGGGGAATTTGAATTTTCAGATCAGAAGTCCGGCTTAATCTGTTGCTGGTGTCTTAAAAATCCTGATGTATGTATTCAAATGAAAATAATCTCTTAAAATTGTAAAATGTACCCATCATTGTAACAGAGCACCCATTGTGCTGTAAATCCTAATCTCTTGTCTTTCCATTACATAACAGTATTGTAATAGAGCACATGTTTTGCTGTAAATTCTTCTCTCCTGTCTTCCATTATTGTTTTTTTATAGAGCACCTGTTTTGCTGTAAATTATACTCTCTTTTCATTCTATTACAGTATCCTGAGAGAGTGTATGCCTGTAAGGAGGGGGTTACAGCTATTGATTTCTCCAAGGCCTACCCCAATCTTCTGGCTGTAAGTCATATACAAAATAATCACAGCTAATACGTACTGTAGAATTGGTTATTTTACTGTGACATTGATTTTTGTAATAAAGTCAAGATGTTTATACTATGAATCTGTATTTGTTGTCAGGTTGGTATGTATGATGGAGGGGTTGCCATTTACAATGTGGCCAGCAACAAGGATGAACCAATCATTGACAACTTGTAAGTGTATTGCATCATATTCTAAAATAATTCAGAAAACTTTCTAATATTCTGATTCCTTAAAGTTAAATCAGGAACGTGCCTAATGGAATAATTCTTTATGTTACTTGTTCTTTGCCAGCCACACACCTGGTAAACACACAGCGCCAGTGTGGCACATAAAGTGGATCGAGAAAGAGCGGGGGTCAGGGGAGGAGACATCAGAGGTAGTAGTCTCCATCTCTACAGATGGTCGGGTCACTCAGTGGTCCATTAGGAAGGGATTCGAGTGCTATGGTAACATTATGTTTCTTGGTTTTCTATTCATATTCATATAACTTCTAAAGAGCACCTATTGTAAATCCAATTTGTTTGCCTGGTAAATGAGATCTGCATGACATCATCACTGATGTTTCTGATTATGGTTTTACTGTCCATGAATAAAATTATTTTTCCTGTTTTTAATAATAATTTACTGAATTACTTTCTAAATGAAACAGAATATAGAGAAAAGACTCTGACAATCTGACATAAATGTAGCAAAAGTAATCCATTTGACAATATTTATTTTTTCCTTATTTATGTCTATTTACTTCTAGACATCATGAAACTGAAGAGAATGCCCACAAGAATGGGAGGAAAGAAAGAGAAGAAAGGTGAGGCCTTTATCTCCAGACATGCTGGAGGGATGTGCTTTGACTTCCACCCCAAAGAACCAAACATGTAAGTAAGGTTTTTATTGCACAGACGCATTTCTTCTGACAATTGTAACAATTTGATCACTCAGGAAATGTTTGTGTTTGACAGATACGTAGCAGGGACTGAAGAGGGCCATATCCACAAATGTTCTTGTTCATATAATGAACAGTATCTAGAGACCTATTATGGGCACACAGTAAGAATTCAATTTGAATCTTAGTTTTATAAATGTAATGAAATTTTTATCACTTCTTTTTTATAATCAACTTTTCCTATTTGTGTGACAGGGTCCAGTGTATAAGATAGAGTGGTCCCCCTTTGTCAGTGACATCTTTATGAGCTGCAGTGCTGACTGGAGCATCAGACTGTGGCACCAGGAGAGGACACAGCCAATCCTCAACTTCTTCTCCTCCACAGTAAGTATACAGGGAACGAAAACAGTCAAGAAATGGCTTCATATTAGTATTGCAGTATTTATAAGAGTATTATGATATTTGTCATTACATTATTGTTGTGCTGCAAGCAGTCGTTAAAAAAAGAACAGTCTTGACCCCATTGTTTAAAATTCTGAGAGTCTAACTACTTTGAATTTTTATAGTAAGCACAACTTTAATTACTTTACTCCTTTCTGTTTTTGTCAGAAATCAGTATATGATGTTGTTTGGTCTCCTAAATCTTCCACGGTGTTTGCTTGTGTGAACGAGGGAGCTGTGGAGGTCTGGGATCTCAGTATCAGCACGTGAGTTCTTATCAGACAACGGATTCTGACTTTTCCTGAAGAAATATCTCAAAACTTAAAATAATACATCCACATATATTTCCTTATTTAGGTTGGACCCAATCATCACCAATAACCCAACATCAGGTGCCAAAAAGACCTCCGTCTCCTTCTCCAAGAACTCAGATGTAAGTGACTGACCACAGTGTCACATTGTCTGATGAGGTGGTATTCAATGTGGATTGCTGTGTAGCTTATTTTCTGACTCTTTATTTCAGTGTATACTGGTAGGTGACAGTAAAGGAGAACTAACGGTGTATCAGCTCAGAAGTATGCCTGAACCTCCAGCTAATCAGGTCTGTAATCAACCTAATTATAATCACATTATTATCAAAGACGTTTAACAAGAGATCGCTTTTTATCTTACTGTTATTAGATCACAAATCTCAATAAGCCCCTTTTCTTGAGTTACATGCTTTTCCTATTTAAACAATAAAATACTTTCTTTGTTTTTTAAGGTTGAGATAATGGTTTTGACATTGCAGAAAAATACATAACTTGCATATATAAGCAGGTTATGTAAATTTTTTCTGCAATGATTGCAACCGTTACCCCTTGCATTAACAGAGAAAGAAAGACATTTCAATTGTTTTAGTCATTTACTTATATCTGTATAAATTATTTGTTTAAAGTGGGTGAAAGTATGTAAATTATTGTATTGTTTCATATAAATGGCTTTAAAACAAATTCTAACTAGTTTGATCGTTTATAAGTTGATAAAGGCAATCGATTTTCATAAGAAAATAATGATAAAATATTAGTAGATGTAAATATTTTCTTATAAATGATAAGAAATTCCTACTGAAAATTACATAAAGAAGACTAGAGTCATGTGATTGTTTGTGATGTTTTAGGAGGATGCATTAAGGAACGTGATCAAGGCTTCCCTGGCTAGTCAGCTACAACAGGACCTAAAAAAGAAAGAAGAGGAGGCCAAGGAATTAGAACAGGACATTGACGAGGACATCTAGATAACGAGGATAGAAAGGGCAAGACAGACCACAAAGCAAGCACAGGGATCTGTGTCATGTGTGCATTTATAAGAACTTCATCACCCATACATGTTTTACTCCCTTTATTGAATGGGAAAAGACTTGACAACCTTGATAACACATTTGGGATGTAATTGTTTATTTGGACAGTCTTTATGATGTTATTTGAATTATATGTCTTACTATTGTTGAGACTCTGAAAATTCCGTCCTGTCTTGTTTTTGTGATATTAACAACTGAACAATTATTTTTTTGTATTTCTCATGTTAATTTTACAAAATATTAAAATATACAAATAGACCTTACTTCTCTGTGTCAGTGGAAAGTACTTATAATGTCAAAGTTCAGCCTCATTAATCTAATTTGATAATTACATATTTTTATGATGGAGCCTTTTGTGTGACTTGTAAACAATTGAATACATTCAAATAGTTCTTATATAGCTTAATTGATGTCAATATTGATTTACTGGTACATTGTAGCATCTATGGATGAAGGAAAGAAAGAAATTATGCTCCCCCCCCCCCCTCCCCTGTCTGAGGGTCTAAGGAGTGGGGCCAGAATCATCCAAGCTGATAATTCAAAAATTTCTTTACTCAAGGACTGTAACTGTAAAATTTAGAATATATATAAAATATATTTTACTGATATATAGTAAACCATAGGAAACGAAGCTTTTTTATAGATGTGCCCCCTCAATAATTACTCTGATGACCTTTGGATTTTGTTTTTGTTTTGTTGTTGTTGTTGTTTTCTTTGTTGATGTTTTTTCCCCACCCAAACTAAAAATGTTTGGTTCTTCCCCCCCCCCCCCCCCCCCATCACCCCTTTTTCTATGGGCCTGAAGTCTTCTACCAGAATTATGAAGTTTATGTATGTTATGAATGCCTGGATTAGATTTAATGGCCCAAGGTACATGACTGTATACTATACTGAAGTTGCTTATTTTTTTCACTCCTGTACATCTATCAGGCAATCTGTGAGCCTATGAAGAGGAGATATCCCTCTACCAACATGTCCACTAACTCCAGGATTCAGGTCCCAGGAAGGGCTAACTTTCTGCTTCTGCCAAGTATAGCCAATAATCAACAAGCTGATTATTATGGCAAATGTGGTGCGCATGATATTACCAAAATTAAAACTTTAAAAGGTTAAAATAGTGTTTCTTATTTATGGTTGGGAAGCCATCACATGAGACCTAAAGGTGTATTCATAACTTTGTTGTAATTGAAAATTATTTATGCAGCTGGACATGAATAGCAGGCAAATCTGTCGGTAGCAGGCAAACTTGTTTGTAGCAGGCAAACTTGTAAGTAGCAGGCAAACTTGTTTGTAGCAGGCAAACTTGTTAGTAGCAGGTAAACTTGTTAGTAGCAGGTAAACTCGTAAGTAGCAGGCAAACTCGTTAGTAGCAGGCAAACTTGTTAGTAGCAGGCAAACTCGTAAGTAGCAGGCAAAATCGTTAGTAGCAGGCAAACTTGTTAGTAGCAGGGAAATTTGATAGTAGCGGGTAAACTTGATAGTAGCAGGCATACTTGGTAGTAGCAGGTAAACTTGTTAGTAGCAGGCAAACTTGCTAGTAGCAGGTAAACGTATAAGTAGCAGGCAAACTTGTTAGTAGCAGGCAAACTTGTAAGTAGCAGGTAAACTTGTTAGTAGCAGGTAAACTCGTAAGTAGCAGGCAAACTCGTTAGTAGCAGGCAAACTTGTTAGTAGCAGGGAATCTCGCTAGTAGCAGGTAAACTTGTTAGTAGCAGGCAAACTCGCTAGTAGCAGGTAAACGTATAAGTAGCAGGTAAACTTGTTAGTAGCAGGTAAACTTGTTAGTAGCAGGCAAACTCGTAAATAACAGGGAAACTTAATAGTAGCTGGTAAACTTGTTAGTAGCAGGCAAACTTGGTAGTAGTAGGTAAACGTATGAGTAGCAGGTAAACTTGTTAGTAGCAGGCAAACTTGGTAGTAGCAGGTTAACTTGTTAGTAGCAAGCAAACTCGCTAGTAGCAGGTAAACGTATAAGTAGCAGGCAAACTCATAAGTAGCAGGCAAACTTGTTAGCAGGTAAACTTGTTAGTAGCAGGCAAACTTGTTAGTAGCAGGTAAACTTGTATGTAGAAGGTAAACTTGTTAGAAGCAGATAAACTTGTTAGTAGCAGGTAAACTTGTAAGAATGATTATAAGGACCAGTTGGCACACAGCGGGTGTGACCGGTCGGCAGGGGCAAACCTGTTAGTAGCAGGTATAAGGCCCTGTACAAAAATTGTGAAATTCATGATTCCAATTTTCAAGCCAAACAGGCAAGGGCTTAGTAGCTGACCATATATTGAAAGTATAAAGGATAGCAATGAGTTATGATCCATTTACAAAAACTATAAATTTCATTTCCTCTATGTACAATTTTCTGGCCTTATGTGGATCTAAGAACTGCAAACGATATTATTGTTCTGCCAATTTTTTCAGAAGGTAACATATTTGAATGATTTTTAGGCCACCTGAGTCACTCAGGTGACCTATTGCTATCTGTTTTCGTCCATCTTCGTCCGTCTTGTGTTAACATTTGAACATTTTCAGCTTTTTCTCTGAAACCGCTGAACCAATTTCAGCCAATTTTTGCATATAGCATTTATGTGTAAAGGGGAACAAAATTTGTGAATTTCATGGTCCCTGCCCCCTGGGGCCTGAGGGGTGGGGCTAAAACCACCAAAATTAATGCAATCTTTAAAAATCTTCTTTACTCCTGGACATCAAGCAGTCAAACTGTTGGCATGATTGTAATAAGGATTGAGCCCTCTACCAAAATTGTGAAATTCATGGCCCCAGGGTCAGGGGTTCTGGTGCTAGGGCGGGACTATATAGATCATATAGTGAAAGTGCATTATTTCTTTGAAAATCTTCTTCTCTACTCCTGGGTATTATTTAAACAAATTAAATATATAGTTATGATTAGCAAGAGTGACTCTACCAAAATTGTGAAATTCATAGCCCCAGGGTCAGGGGTTCTTGTGCTAGGGCGGGGCTATATAGATCATATAGTGAAAGTGCATTATTTCGTTGAAAATCTTCTTCTCTACTCCTGAGTATTATTTAAACAAACTAAATACATAGTTATGATAAGCAAGGATGCCTCTTCCAAAATTGTGAATTTCATGGCCCCTGGATCGGGGGTTCATGTGTTAGGGCGGGGCTCTATTTATCATATAGTGAAAATGCATTAATTCTTCAAAAATCTTCTTCTCTGCTCCTGGGTATTATTTAAACAAACAAAGTACATTGTTATGATAAGCAAGGATGCCTCTTCCAAAATTGTGAAATTCATGGCCCCAGGGACAGGGGTTCTGGTGCTAGGGCGGGGCTATATAGATCCTATAGTGAAGGTGAATTATTTCTTTGAAAATCTTCCTCTCTGTCCCTGGGTATTATTTAAACAAACTAAGTACATTGTTATGATACGCAAGGATGCTTCTTCCAAGATTGTGAATTTCATGACCCCAGGGTCAAGGGTTCTGGTGAAAAAAGGGGGGGCTCTATTGATTATATAGTGAAAAAGCAAAATTTCTTTGAAAATTTTCTTTTCTGCTTCTGGTTAAAAAGCAAAGAAGCTATGTGTATAGTTATGATGAGCAAGTGTGCTTCTTCCAGAGTAGTGAATTGCATGACCTCTGGGTCAGATGTGCTGGTGTAAGGGTGGGGCTCTTGATACATGTAATATAGTGAAAATGCATTAATTCTATTAAATAATCCTGTCTGCTCCTTAGTGTTAAGCAGATAAACAAAGTGATTACTTATGATGAGCAAACTTCTGGTCCCAGGGTCAGAGGCTTTGGTGTTTCTCAGTGGGGAGGGGGGCTCTATTGATAATATAGTGAATCTGTAGTAAAATGCATTATTTCTTTAAAAATCTTCTCTGCACCTGGGCATATCAAAGGCAAAAAGAGTAAATGTTTTAATAAGGAAGGGTATTTTTACCAGATTTTTTTTGAACATCTGGACCATCTGGTCAAGTGTTCTGGTCCTGGCCAGGGCTCTATTAATTTGTATTCTACTGAGAGGAGTTATTCCCCTTTGCCATTTACTTTTGATAATTAATCACTGTAAATAATGTTCTTGAAAGGTTTATAGAATAAGAAGAATTGTGCAAGAATTTTTATTGTATAATACAAAAAGTACTTTCATAGTTTTAATGATCAGGTAGACTTGTAAGTAATAGAAAAATAAAAATGATACAAAAATAACTTGTCTTCATCAAAGACCAAGAGAGGCCAATGTAAGAGATTTCAACAAGGAATTAAAGTAGTACAGAAGCGCTGATAGTTTGGTAATATACTGTATGGTAATTAGTGATAAACGGGGAACAGATTAGAACCTAATTTACGAACTGTTAATGAATACTAGACTAATTATTTTGTTGATCCTGATCACCCTAATTTTCTTGCTTTTGGGCAACAAAGCTTCACCTTTCAGTTCATTTTATACTCTATGGATCCTCTAAATTGTTGTATTATACTCAGGTGACCGTTAAGGCCCTTGGGCCTCTTGTTCATTTATAAAATGAATTTTCACAAAACATAACTTATTTGGAAAAACAAAGAGAGATAACTCTGTAATTTTGGTAAGATTTTGTTACAGAGTAATATTATAACAAGAGGCCCATGGGCCACAATGCTTACCTGAGTCAATATGGCCCTGTTGTTTTTCATCACCAGATTTTTTTCTATTATATATTCCTATGCAAAACTTTAATCCCTATTGTGACCCCACCCTACCCCCAGTGTCATGATTTTTTTATAGATGTAGCCCTACCCTACCCCTCAGGGTTACGATTTGAACAAACTTGAATCTACACTACCTCAAGATACTTCCATATCAATATGACTAAACATGGCTTTGCTATTCTTGAGCAAAAGATTTTGGAGAATTTTTTCCTATGCATCCAAATGTTAAACTCTGATAGTGCATTGTGGCCCAACCCTACCCCATGGGGTCAAGATTTGAACAAATTTGAATCTTCACTACCTGAGAATGTTCCATATCAAAATGACTAAACATGGCTTTGCTGTTCTTGAGGAGGAGATTTTTTCTTATATATTCCTATGTAAAACTTTCATCCCTCATTGTGGCCCCATCCTACCCCATGGGGTCACGATTTGAACAAACTTAAATCTACACTACCTGAGGATGCTTCCCTATTAATATGACAATTCATGGCATTGCTGTTCTTGAGAAGAAGATTTTTAAAGATTTTTTCCTTTATATTCCTATGCAAAAATTTGATCCCCCATTGTGGCCCCATCCTACCCTCGGGG